GTCTCTGTCTCTGTCTCTGTCTCTGTCTCTGTCTCTGTCTCTGTCTCTGTCTCTGTCTCTGTCTCTCTCTGTCTCTCTCTTGTCTCTGTCTCTCTGTCTCTCTCTCCGGTGTGCCAGATGAAGAGAGCACGTAACAGAATCCACACGAGCAGAGAGGGCAAGGAGAGATGGGTGAGTTGGGATGGGCAAAATTCACAGCAAGGTCAAAATTCCCTTCTCTGTCATGATTACAAACAATATGTTTTTTTCCAAAAATATTACCAAGCACAGCACCTCCATTTCATTGGATCCCAAGCATATGGAGAGGGAAGGTGAGAAGTGAAGGAAACAGCTGTCTCTCCCCACTTCCACTCCCAAATGCATATACCTGCAATAATTAGCCTTAGGGGGAAAAATTCTGCATAAAGGAAAATGTCCTCCTTCCGTTTTCAGGGTTGAATGCAGCCTATGGGTGTGGTCAGGTGGAACAATGCCAGAGATAGATCTGGGGGTGGAAGCAGGGGTGCCCACAAGGAGGGGTGTCAAAAAAGTCAAGATCACAGCCACAACCGTGTGATCAAAGCCCTGCGCCTTTTTAATCTACATCTTGGCTTTTTAAAAAAATGTTTGGTACTTTTTTGACAACCCCCTGCCCCCTTCCAACACCCTGGATGGAAGGGTTTAGTCTCTTCTTTGGCCTTTGGGCTAGGAAGGGACCACAGAACATGGAAAGGGGAAAGTCATATCTTTCTCCCCAGCCATGTTGTTTTTTTCCCTTATCCTCTCCTACGTTCAGAGGTGTCCATAGGGTATGTCAAAAAAGTCAAAACAGAGGCTGCAACAGTGTGATCAAAGCTCAACCCGCTGGAACTTTTTTTTAAAACTCTATTAGGGCCGATTCTGGTCTCATGACAGCTCCCAGAAGTAGCCCATAGACAGGTTAGAGTTAGAAATGACTAGCCAAATGCTCCCTTCCCCTCAAATAAGAACAGTAAAAAGTACAGCCAGGCCAAACACTTTGCTGGCACAAAACACAGAAAATTTGTCATCCACCCAAGGGGAACATTCAGCTGCTAGAACCTGGCTCAGCTTACCAGTCTGAATCAACCTTCTTTGCCTCACAGGACTGGCATGCTCTTGAGACTGCTAAGAGCACTAACCCCATGTCTAAACAATAGAACTAGCATTCTTTCAGAAGTCAGCTAAACTTATACTTGTAAAGAGCCCCCATAAGACCCAACAAGAGCTTTGGGAAGCCTTGGTCATGCACTCTGTGTGTGAATACCTGCATGGATGTCACAGAGCTGGTGTCTCCTGGAACCCCCACCAAAATGGCCATGGGAGGCAATGCGTGGGAGCTGGGCAGATCCTATTTGAGGTGGTGTCTGCAACCAGTTCGTTGATGAAGGGTGCTAGAACTTTGTTGGGAAAGGAGGAAAAACACGACTGAACTTTAGAACTGGAGCAATTAAAGGGGACTTTAAGATGCCTCAGCTGTGGGCGGTGGATGACAGAGACAATGTAGGATATGGCTTAAAAAAGAATCCCCAGGGAATGTTCGTGCTGCATTTGGGGGGATGTGAGATCTTAGCTTTAGAGGTGCCCCAAAAGTCTGAAACAGATGGGAAAACTTTGGTTCTAGCCTTCTCTTTTATACCCTTAAAAAAAAAAATTGTTTTCTTTTTCTCTTTTGACAGAAGAGGAAGTACAGCGGCCTTGCCAAATATGTCCCCACCCAAGCTGCAGGTCCTGATACCGTGTTTTTCAAAACTATAAGCAGCAAGCAATTCAGGATATGCAAACTGAAATATTCATATTTGATAAACAATCACCCGCGCAAGGGCTATGACTTTTCATTTATACTTTTTTCAAGACTTTGGAAAAGGGGTTTGTAAAATAAATGTGCCTTTGGCCCTCCATAGTCTCTCACGCAGCCTCTGCCTAACATAAATACCACTAAAGGCAGTGGTGGGAATATGTGGCCCTTCAGATCCAAGGTCAGCAAGCTTTTCTGACCCCACCACTGGCTGTCATCATGGCTCAAGTGCCCCCGCCCCCAAAGTAGAGATTGTACAAGATCATGGCGTTGCCTTGAGAATGGCTAAACTGTTGTAAGAGTGACAATGGTCTTCCCTTCCTTTTTTGAGGGGTCTCTGTGTGTGGGTCTGCCAAAAAAGAGAGAGTGGAAAACTCTGATATAAGCCCAGTAGCTGGAAAGAACAGGTTGACTAATAGAGAGCTAATGTGCGAGTAGCTGCTGGCATCATTTACAGCAGAGGTAGGCAGTCTGATGCTCTTCACATGCTGTGGTCCCATGGAGTTCAGGATGCTAGCTTGTACTTTTAAGCATACTTGCAAGGATGGGTCCTGTCTTGAAATTGGGCCCTGAGTTTGGGTTGAGCAGGTTAAAGGCCACATTTGACTTTGTGTAGAGTATCAGAAGGTAGATAGATGATAGATCTATCAGATGACTGGTATTGATAGAGAGAGAGAGAGAGAGAGAGAGAGAGAGAGAGAGAGAGAGAGAGAGAGAGAAAGGGAGATAGTGGTTGGAATTAGGACAGAAACTAAAATTCATTTCTATTACTTTGTGTGTAGGTCTTTGAGTCAATCCTGATTCTTGGTGACTCCATGGACAAGTCTGTGAGGTTTTCTTGGCAAGGTTTTTTGGAAGTGGTTTGCCATTGCCTCCTTCCTAGGGCTGAGGGAA